ATGTGTAAGCGTCTATACACAATACCGGTCCTAAATTAGAGTTATCAAAAAGTTAAAGTTAGGCTCTGGATTGCGTCAGCATGAATATTGTATAAAGTCCAACCGGCTGCAGTACAAAGAGTTTCATTCGTTCTCATCTGGTGAGATCGACCAACGAATCTCTTCTTCATGCACTTTCATACGAAATGAAGGTCCCTCTAACGGTTATCTCAGGAAATTCATCGAAGCCCAGTTTTTCTTCCTATCTATAGTGAGATAGTTGATTAAGTAAACAATTATTCTTTGCACAAAATAATAGTCAAAGCTGCAAAGCAATTTTCATTCAGTTTTGATGATACCAACTTTTTATCCTCATGTGGTGAGATCGACCAACGAATCTCTTCTTCATGCACTTTCATACGAAATGAAGGTCCCCCTAACAATGTTATACACTTTCATACGAAATGAAGGTCCCTCTAACGCACATTCATACGAAATGAAGGTCCCTCTAACAATGTTATCTCAGGAGATTCATCGAAACCCAGTTTCTCTTCGTATCTACAATTAATAAATGTTAAGATAGTCTGGTCAGGGTTTACAAAAGCGAGGTATTAATTTCGATAAATTATTTTGGTGACCAGGGTTTCTACAGAGAAAATGAAGGCTGGGCTTAAAATATGTAAAAACATTTTAAGGCCCCTAATATTTACTGCGTGACAAAGAAGAGTGTTGTTTTTATTTCGTTGTCACCTAAATATTCTATTTTTTAAATATTATTCACAGGATGGTAGTCATATCCATTTTCGCGTGTCTTTCTCCGTCCTTAATTTTATTTTATAATTCTCATGCTGCCGTCGAATTTTTACAACTCATATCTTTCTTTGCACTAATTCTTTTGGGGATCCGTGACCGAGGAACATCTGATCTAATTTGCCCAATTTTCCATCTCAGAATTTCTTGTACTTTAATCGTAGGCTTCTGATAATCATGCTCCTCATTATTCTGATCTTTAGTCTGCATTTGTGATTAGACTGGAAAGTTAGTACTATTTAGGCATGCGACTCCTTTCTTAACAATCTTCTCTTGAGCGTCCATAAAAAGTAACTTTTTATTCCTCCCTACTTCCATTGCGAATTTGATCCTTTCCTCAATCTGTTTTATTAGTTGCAGGAATTCATCTAACTTTTCTCTTCCATAAGATTAAGGCGCAAAGTAATCATACAGGTTGTACATGCGAACTTCTGGTTGCAGCGATTACGTCTAGAATATCCTCTTCTAATTTACTCGTGTATGTGTTTTCTAAAAGTGGTGAGAGCGGTATGAAATTTGTAAATAGAATAGTTTACTTTTAAAGCTTATTTCCTATTATTGAGCAGTATTAGGCAGATGGAAGTAAAATAACTACTTATTCCAATATTGACCAACGACGATAATATGACTATCGATTTGTCATTCTGTACTAGCTCGTGAGTTATAGGTTGACCGGCAAGAAGTAGTGTATAAAAGCGGTGCTTAAGCTAAGGTTTATTCATTTAATTTATTTCTACTTTTTCAAAATATTTAGATCCATGCTTTAGGTCATGGTTTTCATGCGTTTATGTGTTGGTTTGTATATTAGAGACAAGCGAACCCATTGATAGGAGATTAGCTATGCATAAAAAGGTCTATAAAGGCGTATTATACACACAGAAAATCATAATCCTATAAAAAATTACCAATATGTGATATCGAAGAGAATAATCTTCAACTCATCCATTTAAGAGATATTGAAAATCCACTGACAAGTGTAATTTTTGATTCAATTGAATCTAAAAGGATAACATGTATAAAAACTTGAAAAAGTAAGTCTGATAATACGCCTGACTATTTCGGCCAATAAATTTAATGAGATAGGAATGAGGGAGAACTAATGTGAAAACATAGAGTCAATTAGCCATTTATTTGGTTATTAATTTAGAAATCCAGCTGAAGTGAGCACTGAATGCGTGCAGAATAACACGCTGAAAAAACTCAGCTGTGCACAGTCAAAGAATATAAATCCGCAAAAGAGTATTTGTAAAATGAACGTTTGTTTCTTAACGTGTTAAACCACTTCAGGCATCTCCCATAATGCATTAAATAGGTTTACTTAGCCGACCAATTCATCAAACACCACATTACGATCAAAGTTTAACTGCTGTTGTCCTGCATCTACTCATTCATACCACTTAATTTAGAACTTGTGTCCCTTGAGCTTAGCTTATGTTTGGATGCTTATCTCGATGCCAGAGGAAGCTGAGGATGTCTCGACTTGCCAACTATTCTTCTTAAGTAGGTAGCTTTTCACCATCATATTATTTATCATCGAACTTAAGATTCGCTTTCCCTCTCAACCAGAAAAAATTTTCTAACATGAATTCTACCTCAAAAACGAATTTTCTACTAGCAAACAATCTATCTGTGACCACAGCATATTTTGAATTTAAGCATAGAGTAAGAGTTGACAAAATAGGGTAATGGTCCTAAACTCGAGATGTAAGCATCTTATTCTTCTACGCAAATGATTCCAGGATTACTTAAGAGCTGGAATTGGAATAGCTTCTGGATGTAACTTATCAACTGAGTTAGTCAGTCAAATAAATTCCAGTGTAATGAGATGTATTCACCATATTTCGTCTAAGGTGATGAAGGACTGGTAGTAGAATTTTCCCACA